AGAAAATCTTAAAATTCATTTATCTTAATTTGTTATATCGAAATATCAAAATATTTTCAACAAGTTGGATAACCAACTTTATAATTAACCCATTTTTATTTTGATATCAACTCTTCCCCCTAGTTTATATCAAACTGTGCGCGCCCTTCTCCTTTATTTCTCAAATCCTAGCACCACTTCTCGCCCTCATCGTCGATTTGTTGTTTGGCCATATAGGAGATTCTGAATTAGGAATCGAGTTACCTACTCCTACGCCGTTACCCACAAACTTTGAATTGAATTGTATAGCTCATGTCGATCGTACTGATTCGGATCAACCTTCTGCTTGAGTTGACTGTGGTAGAGGTTATTACCGTCTTTAGCTATTCGTCGTGATGTGTCTCGAGCTAGGGTGAGTTGGTACTTGGAGTTCAATATTATCCTGATTTCATTATTTTTATAGTATGACATTTATTCAAACTTCTTATTCATTATTTATTATTATTTTATTCAAAAAATGTTTATTATGTTAAATAATTTTGGGATATTAGACTTTGTTTCGGACTTTGAGGATTTGATTTTGAATTTGATAAACATTTTTTTGATTATTACTGATTTATTTTTAGTTACTCTAAGTATTTGAAAACAATAAATGCGAGGGTTGATTTTTAATTTATTTAAAATAATATTGGATTTGATTTTGGGGAAATTAGTTAATGGACCTTCTGGATCTGGCATGTTTCGATTAGGTCGGGTAAGGGAGTTACAGCCGCTCTGGTGGCTCGTATGGCACTATCTTCGGCCGACTTTGTGTCATATCAGATTAGGGTGTTACAAGTCCATTTTAGTCCCTAAACTTTCATTTTTGTTTTCCAAAACGTAGCATTAAATTTTGAACGGTGTATTAAAATGAAAAAAAATTAAATTTTAAGTATGCTTTTGACAAATTTAAAAGTTTAGGTACTAAAACATATTAAAATTGATAGTTTAAGTACTAATCGCATAATTTACCGTAGTTTTTTTATACCGTATTTGTATCCTGTAATGTTCGAAGTTACACGTATACTTATTTCCTTCGGTTTGAACCAAATGTCAATTCTAAAATGAAATAATTAAAATATAATGTTTTGGTAGATGCTTGAAGGCTTGAAATAATTGAAGTTCTAGGCTATAACTTTGACCTTACATTATTTTGTCTCACATGGAAACTTAATTGTTTATCCACAACTTGAAATTATCATTACTAAACATTATAAGATTTATTATTAAAATTATTTTATATTAATATTTGAATATTATAATTTTACTTGAATAAAATAAATTTATTGCTAAATAATAATTAAAGTTTATCGACATAAGTATTGGAGTTCCATCGACGTTCTTTCGGAGTACGATGCATGTGATTAGGGGGCATGTAGGTTGTATACTATTTTTATTTAATTAACGCGTTTAAGGAATAAATTATAATGAATCATGAATAATTTGGGAATGAAATTAAAACGTTCAAAAGTTTTAAAACCAATTTAAAATTAGAGTTATATTTTGAAGACATATTATATAATTAACTCTTAAAAGTATATAAATTTTAATATATTAATAATTTACATCATATCACCTTTTACATATTTTTATGGTAAACTACACATTTAGTACATAAATTGTCAGTTTTGATTCGTTTTAGCACCTAAGGTTTCAATTTTTTCAAAATCACACCTAATATTTACTTTTGTTCGTTTTAGTACCCCATTGTTAAAAACTTAACGCGTTTAGTACATAAACTATCAATTTTGGTCCTTTTTAGTACCTAAACTTTCATTTTTTCCCAAAACTTAACGTTAAATTTTGAACGAAGTACTAAAATGAAACAATAAATAAACTTTAGGTATGGTTTTAAAAAATTAAAATTTAGATATTAAAATAGACCAAAATTGATAATATAGATACTAAAATCGATTTACCCTATTTTTTATATCGTATTTGTTTCATGTAATGTTCGAAATTACACGTAATACTTGTTTCATTCAATTTGAACCAAATGCCAATTCTAAAATGAAATAATTAAAATATTATGTTTTGGTAGTTGCTTCAAGGCTTGAAATAATTAAAATTCTAGACTATAGCTGTGACCTTACATTATTTTGTCTCACTCTGAGACTTAATTGTTTACCCACAACTTTAAATTATTATTACTAAAACATTATAATATTTATTAAAAATATTTATATTAATATTTGAATATTTATAGTTTTACTTAAATAAAATAAATTTATTGCTAAATAATAACTAAAGTTAAAATTAGAATTATCTTAATTATATTTTCCTTGTTAAAAAAATCTCACCATGAAAATGATTGATATACATTGAAGCTTTTCTTGTCTTGGACAAATAAGTTATTGATTAGGTGGAATAGCTAATCAATGCCAATAATTAAAAGTTGTCCATTATATATATATATATATATATATATATATATATATATATATATATATATATATATATATGTGTGTGTGTGTGTGTGTATATATGTGTGTATATATATATATATATATATGTATTATAATGGGTGATTTTTTAGTTGAGATAGGTTGTCTTGGAGGCATATATGGCCTATGGGAAAACAATATCTTCATGGCTATAGAGTATTGATTATTAGTAAGATTTTTGTAGTTGGTTTTCAATTTCAAATATAATAATAAGTTGAATTCAAGAACGAATAGTTTCGGTGATAAAAGTAAATATTAATATTTTCAAAATATTTAGGTTCTTATATCGGAATGTATAAAGTGTGTATTCATTGTCAATAAGTTAAAATTATTATGAACAAATACTATTTTATAGTCACCCAAGCTATTCAAAATATATATAGTGTTAGGATTAACTCAAAAATCTTTCCAACTAGCATGATATTTAAGAATTTTCGAGTCAAGTTTAAAGTGAATTTTTTTATCCGACCCGACCCGAGATAATAGTAATAAGTATTTATAATATATTTAAAGGTAATTACGATAATTGATAGGAGATGACAACAGAGTGATGAATATTGCTCGAAGTTCAAGAATCAAGCCTAGAGATCTATACTCGATCAAAGAATGAGTTTGAAGGAGGTTTATGATTTATAGTAAATTTAGGGTTTTGGATGGGGGAATTACTGAAAAACTCAAATAAGAAAAAGGGTTTATGAATATGGTGAATGTAAGATAATAAATATGAATAAAATAATGAATAAAGAATCAAATAACAAAGATAAAAATGGTTACTCAAATTAAGGTTTTCAGCTGAAACAGTTCATGACACAAAATCAAAAAAGAATATAATTATTAGAAAAATAATTGAAAATAAATAACGAATATATAAAATGACCAATGGAAAGATAGATAAAATTTAAAAAGAACTCGAATTAAAATTCCCCCTGATTGATAGATTGATGTCCTATGGACCCTCTTAGTCACAATTGACTAGGCAAACTCAATAATCGACTCTAACCGGTTGTCTTAATCGCAACGAAGAGACAAACAAGAGTGTGAAGATCTCCCTCACAAAGAACTTGAAGAACTTAGTGGTGAAGAATGCTTCGAAGTCATAAGACTATCAACACTTGCAAAAACGTACTCACGTTGTATTATTATTCAAGAAAAGATGTGATTATAACGGTGAATGAAGCCTTCTTTATAAAGATGAGAAGTTCTAGCGTCCTAAGTAACTAATAAATAAAATAATAATAAACTAGAGACAATATTTGATTTTAATTCTTAATCATAGTCCTAAGATATAATATAACTTACTATATTAAATTATATTATAAATAATCAATGAAAATATTGAAAATTCGTAACATTTAAAAAAGTTCCGTATTAATCTCGTACAAGAATCTGTACATGAATTTTCTTCATTAAAATAGACATATCTTGAGTTCCCGACATCGGATTGATACGATTCAAGTACTGTTGGAAAGATAAGAGACATCTAGTCATATCTCCAAAATAAAAGTATTTTTACACAAAATTGATTATTTTTACACAAATATCTATAATTATATTTTATGTTAAAAATTAGAAAAGGTAATTATCATAGAAAAACTCTGACTACTCTCCGTGGTTTAGATTCCTTTCCTAATCATTAAGCAAAATGAAAGATTAAGGAATTTTCTCTTGTTTAATCATTAATACATATTAATTATCAGTGTTATATAAACAGTGATATAAAGGGTAAGTTTCACCATACGCCACTCAATTAGTAATGAAATTAAAAACGGGTCACCCACTTTCAAAACTTTACATATGAATCCCTCAATTAACAGATTGTTATAAACATGCCAATAGACAGCTAAAAATGAAACAGACGTTAGAAGATCACGTTAGAAAACATTTTTGTTGATTTTCCTATCGGGTAAATAACACCACATGCCGTCCACTTTTAAGCAAAATTATAAATGAGTCATCTAATTATTAATAAGATTACAGATGGATCATTCAGTAACTAGCCTCTCAATTAAACAAGGATATCAAGATGAATCTTATGATACACTTTGAGATTTATCAACCACTGTGTATGAAAATAGATGACAATCAATAAAGTGACATATAACTTGACCATTACAATCAATTAATCAAGTGATTTGATTACAATAATCATTTAATTGGGTGACTTAATTATAACTCCATGAAATCATATATATTTTAATAAATATAGTATTTAAGGTCATAAAACCGCCTAATATTTAATGATCCAATGATTTGTTTATAACAATTGACTAATTAATTGACTTATTTGTAACATTTTGAAATTAGGCGATTCATTTATAATTTTACTAGTAATAAGGTGACCTGTTTTGTATTTAAACCATATAAAAATTCATTGTTTACCGTTGACAAAAAAAAGGCTATTTAAGTAAACTCATAAACAGATAATTTCGCCAATGACTACAGTATACACCTTTACGTTTCAGCATTTCGTATGCTTGTCGTCAACTTCACTTCAATTCCCCATTATACCCCTTCAATCGCTACTTTTCTTTCTTCTTTCAGCCCTACACCTCCTCTACTTCAAGGAAACAGCAGTCCTTGGATCCTCCATCTCTTTCTTTAAAAAAGATACCTTTTTTTCACTTTCTCTCACTAAAGCATTTATGTTTTCAATGTAAACTTTCCCATTTCTTCAAGTGTTTCTGATTCTATGCAAAACTCTTTTTGGGGTGTTACTGAACTCTTTAGAACCCAAATGTCAAAATCTTTTACTTCTGTGAGATTTCAAGAAAGATGTCGTTTTTCATTTCATGACAATGTCGTTTCACTGTTGAAGATTTGCCTTTTTTGAGGGGGGGGGGTTTAACGATGAAGTCTTCAACTCAGCTTGACTCGGTTGTGTTCCAACTCACACCAACTCGAACCAGGTAATGTTTTTTCTTTGATCGGCAGCTAATACTTAGCTTCGTAGAGGTATTAAGCATGCTTAGTATTAAGCTTGAAGTAAAATCGAACTGTTTGAGCTGACCTAAGTGATTTACCTACTCGAGCTGAGTTTCGAGTTCTTATAATAGTGTTCCATTGAGTTCAAGCCTAGTTTCGAGCAGTGAATGTCGAATGTGGTATTGTATGTGTATAATCTTTGTGGATATAGATTTATTATATCATATTCTGCTTTGCCTTCATCAGGTTTGAATTGGTGATTTCTGCCAATGGAAAGACAGAGAAAGTGGCTTCTGGTTTGCTTAATCCATATCTTGCCCATTTGAAGACTGCTCAAGAGCAGATGTCCAAAGGGGGCTATTCGATTATCCTTCAACCGGACCCCGGTATCAGTGCGACTTGGTTCACAAAAGGAACCATAGAAAGGTTTGTTGTAAGCTTATTTGGTGCGTTTTCTTGTTTTTTATAGTATGAATATTGGATGAATTGGAGCAATTTTCATTTGCTGCTGTGATTATTTTGGTGGTTGAATGGAGTCCGTCCTGAATGCCAAGTTTGTTCATCGAAACTGCTCCAGGATGAATATTTTGTTTCCCCTTGTAGTTGGCACGAGATAATATTTGTTTTTGTTTTTGAAGGTTTGTTCGATTTGTGAATACTCCGGAGATATTGGAACGAGTGTACACTGTCGAGTCAGAGATTTTGCAGATTGAAGAGGCCATTGCAATTCAAAGCAACAACAATATAGGGTTGAGTACCAGCGTAAGTAAAATCTTTGCAAGTCATAATATAAGCAGACTGTACAGATTGATAACTCTATTTGTTCGCTTTTACTATAGGTGGAAGAACACAGCGTAAAACCTTCGGAAAGCATAGAAGGTACTGTTACTAACTCGTTTACCTTCATTCTTCACCTGTAACTTCATCAAGATTACTTCCTTTTTGAACTTAATTATGGATCGAATTGTGGATCAAAAAGTCATTCTATATCATATTTCTACTCATTTTGTATCTTCGTGTTACTTCGCCGATTCTGGAGTTACTATCAAGCTAATAAATGTTCTTACTTCCTTGTACATATCGTGCACGTTCAAGTTTTTCATTCCAAAATTCTTTCTTCAATAGTTCTGAAAACTTATGTTTTGGTTTTTAATTTCTTGTTTGTTATTGTATTAACTCCTAATGTTTTTGAACAGGCAAAAGGGCTACACCGGATTCCTACGAGGAGAAAGCCATCATCCTTTATGCAGTGAGGCTCTGCTAAACGGTTCTTAGTATTTTCTAAAGCTTATGGAATTTAGTTTAACCCTTTTTGTTTTGTTTTGGAAGCCTGATGCACGACCACCTGAAGCGAATGGGTCTGCTGTACAGGAAGGAAATCCAAAGTATGTTTTACTATGGCTACATGGATAGTTTTTATTGCTTGCATGTTATCTATAGTTTTTGGTGGCCACTTCAAATTTTGAGTAGTTTGATGTCTTTTTCCATCGGTCAAGTTTCCGAAAAAGCCTTAAGTTTGTCGAGTGAATCACCGATGTCATGAATGCGAGAACCTTATGACGGTAATTAAATACAAGTACCTGTAAGCATGTAAAATATCAGGGGCTGTGATACTCACAAACAGACAAAAATAACTTATTCTTTCCATGTTCCTCGGGCTGCTTTACCTCCAACTGTAGAAGGTGTACACGATTGAACTTGGCTCACCTGACAGTTTTAGCTGCTTAAGCTAAAGTTCAACTGAATAGTGTACAGTCAAAATTGAATATTCTTGGAAATTGGAGTTGAGTCGAAGTAGCTTGCGAGTAGGCTTGACTCGCTTACACCCTTATCTGAAAGGATGCAAAAATTCCGAGAAAGGGCAGAAACATTATGGCTTATAGGGACTTCGATATTTGCATGACGTTTTGTTGATTTCTTTCTCTTTCAGTATATACTTCTAATATTTATAATGGTTAATTAGCTAATTTCAGACATTGCATGGTTTGCCCGAGTAAAAGAATGCTTACATATAGAGGAGGAGGAAGAAAAGTTAAAAGGGCAGACATGATTGAAACAAGCGTCACAGTTTGTCATGTTAATGATGAAGAACATAGTGCTAAAGACCATCACTTTTTATAATGTTTAATTTGTTGGAATAATCTAACATATTGTTTCGATATATACTAGATTGCAACTTTTGAAAGTCCTCGAGACAAGGAAGACAGTGCTGCAGAAAGAGCAAGGCATGGCCTTTGCACGTGCTGTAGCTGCTGGTTTTAACATTGATGACATGGCACCTTTGATGTCGTTTTCTGAAAGGTTTGGAGCGTCTCGTTTGAGGTAATTGGAATTTCCAAACATGACACTTAGTTGTGTTCAAGCATATATTTTCATGCACGATTCCATACTCAATTACCTTCTTCTTCTTTTATTGCAGGGATGCTTGTGTAAAGTTCACTGAATTATGGAAAAGAAAACATGAAGACGGGCAGTGGCTTGAAATTGAAGCAACTGAAGCAATGGCTGGTCGATCTGATTTCTCTGCTATGAAAGAGCTCAAGGGAGCATGGCCAGGAATTTCAGAAGACAATGGAAAAACTGTTGTTGAGTCGAGCACAGGTATATTTCTCCGAGGTTTCCTTTTCTATGACATGACACATTCTGACATTCTCCGTGTAACTTGTCGATCTTCTTGAAGCGAAGGGAGTTTACTTTTAGTTTTATTGCTCTTTTCGTGTGATTTGAAAATAAATATATCTTTTACCTGTGATTTGCTGTTAGATTTATCAGCATGTTCCGTGCACTAATGTTTCATCCATCTGAACTTGCTTCCTGTGCATTAGATAGTTTCTGATGCTTATGGCAGAGGGAGACACTCAATTGTTTTCTCAATGTCGAAACAAGGTCTTGTTTACAATTTAAGGGAAACCACTGCTATCATTGGTTTTCGGTTTTGTTTTCATGTCGTATTAGATATATATTTTTTAGTTCGGTTGGATTATTTAACAAGAGGTAAGTTTTTCCTCTCCGATTTTCCACCTACTCCATATGTTTGGACTTGAATCTCGGGACTTGCAAACTCTCACTGGCGATAGCTACTTGTTTCATTACTTTGCTAGTTACCACATAAATTAGTATCTCAGTTAGAATATTCTTGATTTGTTGTATTCATCCATTTGTTTTAATTGAATTGTGATCACCAGATGAGAAGCCTCCCATGGATCAACAGACCCCTGCTTGGCAAGAATATTCCCAGGCCCGTTTTCCGCATCCCATGTTTCCTCCCTGGCCTATCCAATCTCCACCGAGCGGTATGCCAACCTTTCAAGGATATGCCATGCAAGGCATGTCCTACCCACACTATCCCGCTTGTAGTCCATTCTTTCAGCAACCTTATCCATCAATGGAGGATCCAAAACTCGATGATGGTCGAAGAGTACAGAGAGGACATTCGATGGGTAGCCAGAATGGATCGGATGCTTGGAAGCTGGAGAGAGCAAAACCTCAAGATGATAGGGAACTGGAGAATGAAACTTCCCTGAGCCCGAAATCAAGAAAGAAGAGTAGCAGGTCAAGTAAAAAGCAGTCCGGAATGGTGGTCATTCAGAACATTAATTATATCACTCCAAAGAAGCGCAACTCTTCGGATAGTGATTCACAGTCACATTCCGGCTCTGAAATGAACGAGGAAGATGGAGATTCGGCGCAAAAGAACTCTCTAAGATCCTCAAAGAGGAAAGGGAATCGAATGAAGCCTGTTGATTTATTGAATTCATTCGATAAGGAAGAAACCGTTTCCGGGAAGGAGACACATGGTGGACAATGGCAAGCATTTCAAAACTATTTACTTAGAGGTGCTGAAGAGGAAGAACGTAAAATGGACAAAGGCGTTTTTTCAGCAGGAAAGGAGGTTCAAGGAAAAAGAAGACTGAATAGAGCCGGTGAAGACCATTTAGCTTCTGGTGGACGAGAAACGGGACAATACAAAGAAAGGAATACAACTGACATGCATGCAAGTGGAGGTCGCATGCTTAAAGCACCATCAAATGATCATTCTTTGATTTCGAAAAATGGTGATCATTCGGTTGATGGCAGGATTCTCATTGATGGTTTACATTATATGGAAGTAGATGGCAGGAGGGTATATAGGAGTTCCATGAATGATGACTTTATAGTAGATAAACAAAAGAATCAGTCAGATTTTACGAATTCTCAGTTAGATCCGTTGGCTGTTAATGGGTTCGAACGTTCATCGAAGAAGACAGATGACTCCTACATAGTTCCTTTCAGGTCAACCTCAATCACACAAGTTGGAACTGATGATCAGAATGCTATCAATATGGATTCTGAGTTCTCGTTGTCACTTCGGAAAGCTGGAACTACATCTAACAGGGTCGGAAGTCATGTCAATTACAAAACAAATGATTTAACTTTGATGCCTCAGCGAGGAACAGAAATGGGGTCGATTGGTTATGATCCTGCTTTGGACTATGAAATGCAGGCTCATGCTGAAAACGGCACTTCATTGGATAAGAAAAATAAAGAGGGCATGAAGGGGTCTAAAAAGTTGGACATCCGGAAACCGAAACTTATTGCTGATCCTCTGGATAAAAAGAAGACCGTAGAGCCGATGAGGAAAGAAAAGCCTTCAAAAAAGAGTCCTTTAGATGAAGCGAAAGCCCGGGCTGAAAGGCTAAGAAACTATAAGGCTGATCTTCAGAAAATGAAGAAGGAGAAAGTATGCAACTTTTTCATGCACATTTAATATTTTGAATACTTGTTGTATAATCTCAGCTATCTTTACAACTAGCTTGGGTAGTTTATTAAGTAAATTATTTATTCATTTTTCAGGAAGAGGCGGAGATCAGACGACTCGAAGCATTGAAGATGGAAAGACAAAAGAGAATTGCTGCTAGAAGCAGTTCCTCTGGTCCGGCTCAGTCGTCTATGGCCGCACAAAGCAGGAAACAATTCCCGTTGAAACTTTCCCCGAGCTCTCTTAAGGGATCAAAGTTTACCGATGCTGAGCCTGGATTGTCGTCACCACTACAAAGATCCATCCGGACACCACCTGTGGGATCACCTGCTTCTCTTAAAACCCCCAAACCGAGCAAATTGAGAACCGACTCCAGTGCAAATAGAGTAAGCAAGTCAGGTCCATCACTGCCTGTACTGAAGAAAGACATAAGCAGTGTAGCACCAGATGCAAAGGCATCTATGGCGAGGATTGGGAGATTATTAGAGCCGAAAATAAATGGCAGTGCACGTGTTCCTTCAGTGAAGTCGCGGAGCTCGGAGCCATCGTCCAAAACAAAAGTATTTCGAGGGCCTGAAAGCAGAAAAATATCAGCAATCGTGAACTATGATAACAGTAAGATTGCATCCCTTCCAGAGCTCAAAATTAAGACAACTAAAGCCCCCGATATTACCCACAGCAAGTCCAGGGGAAATGAAATGACTCAGAAGGTAAATGGAAGTATTTCTTCTACCACCAATGTTACTGAACTGAATATAAAACCAGAAAAAGTTTCATACGACGCCAACAGAGATGATGGCACAGTGATTGAGAAAACCATTGTGATGCTCGAACGTGAGAAGCCCTCTGTTCCCACAGTAAACTCATCAGAAGGAACTGCAACAGTACAGAAGGGAGATGATGGCTTTAATAAAATAGGGAGGAAAGCCGAGAAGATGGTTCCGGATTATGCTGCCCCTCGTGCTCCGGTTTCTTCTGTTGACACACTTGATAAAGAACACTGGATGCAACAAGGATCACAAGCTTACGAGGTATGGTTTGTTGAACTTGATTGAAAAGGAATGATTAGCCTTTGGGAGTTTCCATGTTAAATTGAAACCTTGTTATCAATTACTTCATCTGCGATCTCAGTTCGATGCCAAATTTCCAGTCTTGTTGTCTGTTGATAACATAATGTACAAATTTCCAGGTTCAAAAAGTTAATGTGAGCAACACCAAGAAGGAATTACAGAAAGTTAAAAGTTCCAGTGTTACCAGAAAACCTTACGAAACCCCATTTGCTCGGGTCTCTTCTTCGGAATCTACACAAAGTGAAGTTCCAGAGAACAGTAGAGCATCTCCAACAAGATTGCAGGCTACAGTGACACAGCCAGAGTGTGTTAGAGCTCGTGTAGCTGATTCTAAGAACTTAAAACTAGAAAAGATTCCTGAAGTCTTGGATAAGCCTCAGTTAAAGGAGTCATCCAAAGGGTTTCGGCGGCTGTTAAAGTTTGGAAGAAAGAATCATAGCTCAGCGACAAGCAAACCTTGTATCAACTCAGATGGTGTCCATGTTAACGGTTCTCTGGCTGATGAGTTGGTTGCGAACCCCGCCTCATCTAGTAAAGGTAATTGCCTTGATGGATGGTGAGACACCAAATGCACAACTACTCCTGTCTTGACATTCACCCTTATTCGATTCATTGTCAAATAATATGTCACTAGCTAGAATGTTGCATTTATATCATCTGATAGTTGTTTATTTGTAGCTTTGGTAGTTTTCCAGTTGCATCTGATCCGAAACTAACTAATTTTCTCGTTGCTATCAGTTTGTACATTGAAGAATCTGCTCTCTCAGGGTGAAAATCCTATAGCCAGCAGCAGTACTCCGAAAAAGTGTAAGTAGTTGCTGCACATAGGACCATACTCGTCCTTTTCGATTCTTTTTTCTCATTTTTCTTTAAGTATCCATATCCAACACATATTCGAGCATACCCGAGTTGGACAAATACATACCCGACTTTCATCGTTGAGTCTGAGCATCATAGTTTTACATCATTAAGATCGATAATCTGACATGGACATGTATAATCATGCAGCTGCGCGGTCGTTTTCCCTATTGTCACCATTCAAAAGCAAGACCAGTGAGAAGTTGACAGCTTAAAGATGAAGTGTTTCAGTTGTCTCCATTTAAATGGATTCTTTTTTAATTTACACTGAAAAAAGGTTCTTTCGGTAGCCGGATTCATCAATTTATGTTAAACCAAACAAGTTCGGAGAGACATTGCCGAATGACTTTATATACTTCCTTTCTGGCTGTAGCCATTGATTCATACCACTGTTTACTGTAAATGAGAGGACGTCTTATTATGCTTAGAGTCCCGATGCCGCAAAAACTAAACTGAATTGACATCCAAATTTGCAAGCTAGGCCACTTTCTCTAGGCAATCTAGTTTGATTATTTTGTGAGGTCAAACTGTAATGATATGTTTGATTAAATCATGTACTTTATAATTAACCTGAATTATTCAAGCAAAACTAGGCTAGCTGCAATATTCTGGGTGATTGGAATGGGCACTTCCTGCCATCAAATGATGAACAGATGAACAGCCAACACATAAACTCTCATTAAGCCAATTCAAATACCAGCAAGCAAGCAAATTAGACAAGCAATATATAGCAATAAACTCGATACAAAATCTGTCATTTAAAAAACAAGGTGTCCTCAACTGATCTTATTCATTTAACAGAAAATTGAAATCCACTTCCGAGACAGCTCAAGGAATATTGATGAAAAAGTAGCAAAAATTAAGTATCACTTCAAGATGCATTCTCCTTTTTAAGCTTAGCAAGTTCTTGCCTGACGATTCCAGCCTTCTGCTCGGGTCAAAGTTTCGAGAAAGAATTTAGATAATGACGAGAGAATTTAAGAATAAAAAAGGGTAAAAGACCTTAGTGGTATGGCAAACTGACCTTGATCTTTGCTAACATAAGCTTGAACCTATCAAAGTCGTTAAGAGATGCCCTTCTCTTCTGGACGATCAACTTTCTACCCCATGAGCTATTCTCCCACTTGTTCTTAACATCTGCAATGATTGCATACAGCCAAATAGGAAGAAAACATTACTTCGGGAAACATGCTATGATAATGCAAGTAATCATGATCAAACTTACCAGCCTTCTCCATAGCTTCAATCAATGTTTTCTTCTTAGGAACTCGGGGAATGTCAATTGTTATATCGGTCAATGTAAGCCTCTTGAAGTTCATTTGGCCTCTGACCATATCTGGGGCATCAACAAGGGCCTGCCATACCAATATATAAGCAAAAATAAGCTTCTGGTCATTATACAATCATTACCTTACTTTCAACTAGACTAGTGATTCTACCCTTGCGTTATGGCCAGTTGGCCACTAAAGCTACAATTCTATTCTCAAACGACATATATACGGCACAATCAAGTCGTAACGAAAGTTGCAGATTCATAAATGCTGAGAAACAAATGAACATTAAAAAAATGCTGGCCTAATCTGTTCCCACAACTCTTCATTCCCCCTTGAAACACCCTTTTCTGACCCATATATGCAACAAAGCAGATGTGAGTAGGCAGTTCTCAGTATCCCCCAATACATAATAGAACTTAGCACACCGTCAAACAAATAGAGATATCCAGCATTCTCTCGAGCCCGAGAAACATAAGGTTAGACAGCTATAATAAGCTTAATCATTAAAATACAATGACTTAACACAGATTCCTTTGAATAAAATGTTTCAAACTAGATTAAAACCAACAAGAAAATACAGAAAACCCAATTGCAGTTAAACTCTTCAGAACCAAAAAACCTAGATTCCTCTATAATTTCACAATCCATCCTAGCACCAAATTAAACCTAAATAAAAATACTCTAAAATGAAAAATCCATTAAAATCCTCAATATCATACCACATTAAAATTCACATTTTCCCTCTTAATCAGACAACTTTGACCTGAACCCATCACATATTTCATAATTGCAAATCCACTAAACGACTAAGAAAAATGACTAAAAAAATTAAAATGCCTCTATATTAAATCTGAAAAAAAGGACATACTCTGTTCTGGTCAACGACATCAACAATGACAACCAACTTGCCGTAGTCTTTGCCGTAGTTGACGAGAGCCACTCTCCCGATCTCAACGTACCTCTTGAACGGCTAGAAGCGTGATAAAAAGGGGGAAAACAATTAAAACCCATAAGCAGGAATGGGAATAATGGATCATATCCTCCATCAACAGATTAAACAAAAACTCACCATTTTTTGCTGTGGGTGTGTGAGAGTGTCGGAACTAGAGAGGCGGAAGGGATATCAACGAAGGTGCGAACAACGGATTTTAGTTTATGGTGGATTTTATAGGGTGTTTAAAATCGTCGGATCTAGGGTTTTTCTTTCAGGGTAAACCAAATGTTTAATGCCTGAACTATTACTTTTATTCCATTTAGATACCCAAACCTTGTTTTTTTAATAAAAATCATACTTAATATTTAATTTATGTTTCATTTTGGTATCATCGTTAAAAACTTAACAATGATATTGACATATTACCATAAAGTAATGACACATCATCATTAAAAATAAAAAAAAGTTATACCAAATTAAAACTTAAATTAAATATCAAATTAATGTATGATTTTAAAAAAATAAGTACCAAAATAGAATAAAAGTAATAGTTTAAATACAACGTGTAATTTACCTTTTCTTTTATTGATTTGGGTGACGATGATGACAAATTCCAGAATTAACAGTTAACAAAGATATTAAAATACAACAGATTAATTTTCGGATTTTCATAAAACCATCAATTAAACAGATAATTTCAACAAATTAATATGATTTTAATTTATTTCTTATTTTCTCACAATTTATAATTAATTTCCCCAAGCATCTTTCTATACAAACCTTCACTAGTAATTCATCCCAAAATATTGTTCAAATTTTAGAGTTATTTTTATATTTGAATTTAAATAATATACTAACTTTTATAATTAAATTACTCATAATCTTTATAAGGGGTGCTTAATGAGTTGAGCAGTTCATGAGCCGGTCGAACTCGACTCGAGATCTTAACGAGCTGAGTCGAGCAAAGCCCAACTCAACTCGATAACTTCTCGAGCAACTTGCTAACTTTTTATAACTTTTCAATAGTTATCTTAAAAAATTTATTTCATTCAAAAAATTATTAATTTACTAATAGATAATAAAAATAATAATAAATTACTAATCTATTAGTTTTATAATAAATAATTAAAAATACTAAATTAATAATTATTATTTTACTATCGTGGAAAGAATTTTTTAACAAATAGAAAATTTAGTATCGAATTTTATGAAATGATGATGGAAGTCGTCGTCGACCTTTAAGTTAGGTAGGTCGAATACCTAAAAGGGTATTTTAAAACAAGTTTAAGAAAAACCATTTTAAAGAAAAAAATTAGTCTGCGTTAACTAAAGATTCATCTTTAAGTGCTCGGAAGTCGGTTACGTGTGAGAGAGAATTAGTACTCACAATGTCCAAAATTGGTACTTGATCGCTTATATGTTGTCATAGTGGTGGAACTTGTGGATTCGAGTTGAAGTTTAAAATAAACTACTTTTATTGAAAATTAATCAATTTATTTCGAGTTATTTATTTAAAACCTCACATTAAACACGAATCGAATCTAAATTAAATAAATTCAACAACATACCAAAAAAATATATTGTCATTATTAAAACAAAATGATGATTTCATTTTTATCAAAGCATACTTGATCATTTTCAAGTTCGCTTTTCGTTTGAATGTCGTATTGAATTGTGCTACTTCTAGCAAGTTACACTTTTCATCTCATTATAAAAAAGCCGTTCTTGAAAATTCATACGAGTACGAGATATTGAAAATTAATAACAAACAAAAATGATCATTTTGTAATAATTTAAAATATGAATACTAATTCTAAAAATAACAAAATATACATATAAATATAAAAGTCAAAATAAATTAAACGAATATATACATATAGCACATAAACACAACAAACAATAATATATATATATATATATATATACACCTAAGTGCAGGGACTAAAACAACTTAAAGCAAAGGTTAAATCATACCATAGCATAAATAATGAGAACTATGTATGCCAATAAACCAAACATCAAATGTAACAAATTATAACAACATCTAAAATAGGCATGGATCACAATGAAATGAAGTAAATTACATGTACTAGAAATGAAATAAATCTCATAAATTATATGAAGGGTTAAAATAAAATAAAACAGAATATAAAGCTCAAATTAGAAATAAGCATAAAAGTAAATGCTGGAATTTAAAAGGACTGAAATACAAATACTGAAAAATAAAAGGGCATAATAATATAAACTGGAAATTAAAATAATGGAATGTAAATAACGAGAAAATAAAGTTATTTTAATTTTTAATCTGCAATAAGGCGGGTATCCCGGGACGGATCACCATAAGGTTGTACATTGGTTCGAATGCAAAAAATAAAAGTTAGTTGTTAGTGGCATAAAAAAAGAAATAAAACAAAAGTTAGTAGTCATGGGTTAGTACTGTTAGAAATAAAAATAAAATAAAAGTCAGGAGTTACAGTTAGTACTGTTAGCATTTTAACCAAAATCGTAATAATACAGATCATACTCAGGGACGGGTCACCGTGAGGTTGTACGATGATTCGAATACAAAAAAATTCAAAGTTAGTGGTTAGTAGTTAAAAAGGTAGAAAAGTCAGTAGTTAGAATAATAAAAAAAGGTATGAATCTTAATGATGTGGGTCGTATCCCGGATCTAGTCACCATAAGATAGAGTCAAAGTTAGGTGCAATAATTAAACAGTAAGTAATTAATGGTTAGGGGTTAATAAAATCAATGATAAAAAAAAGTCTGAATTGTAATAATGTGGGTCGTACCTTGAATCGAATCACCACAAGATCGAAGATTAATCAGAAGCGATAAAATAAAATTGGTGGTTAGTAAATAAAATAGAATGAAAAACATAACCATATATAAAAAAAATGAAGGAATGAAGCAACAATTCAGCACATCAGCATCGAATATAAGAATGGAACGTGCATGTAGATCGAATATAAAATGCAATAAAATCCAACAAGAACAAGAAGTGACCCAAAAAAATAAACAAAAAAATGGTGCATCAAACTTGAAACAGATAAAAGAGGAGGATGGTGACTGAAATGCAAAAATAAGCTTAAAGCAGGGGACCATTATTTGATAAAACCCAAAAGAAGTGAACATTTTATAAATAGGCGTTGAAACTAGAGGGACTAAATCACGATTTAACCTAAATAACTTAAACTTGAGATAGGTGACACATTTGTAAATACACGGCTAAAGTGAAGGGGCTTAAGCGTGATTTTACCCTATATTTATCATCCAAAACAACTAATGAAACAAAAGTGTAAAAATAGCAAAATTAAGACCTATACTTTACAATAAAAATAAAACTTACGGGATTGGTGACTATAATGTAAATTCTTGGCAGGATAAGGGGACGGAAACACATTTTATCCCAAAACTTTAATATATGTGCTTAGTTATTTTCTATTTAAGGTAAAAAGCTTAGAAAATCCTAAAAAACCAAAACTTTCCTTTTGTTTAAGCTCTCTCCGCCCCCTCCTTTGCCTTGCTCGACCGAAGGTCCTCAAAGGACAAAACTTCCACCAGCAACCGCGAGAGGTGGCCATTCTCTTCTCCGACGGCCCTCTAGAATGACGAAGAAGCGACTTACGGGTCAAAATGACCAACAAATCCCTTTGCTCTCCCAAAATGCCCAAACCGAGATCTCCAAACACCCTTACACGATCGTAGCTTCACTTCCGAACACCAGCAACGGTGGTCGATCCTCACTAACCCTTAACCCAAAATCAATTAAACCTCTCATCCTCTTCTTCTCATCCTAAATACAAAATCCAAGGCCACCACGTAAACCCCCTAAACTAAGAATATGAGGCTCTTCACCCTAAACCAAAGACTATAACTCCGATGAGACCTCGCCTGGACAGGTAACAAACTAACCTCCTCTTATTTTATTTTTTTGATTTCCAATGCAAAAAAAAAGGTTATTGAAATGAAAAGTATTGGTTGAATACCCGAAATTTTTTGGGTTTTCTATTGCCTAGTTCGAATCGGGGGGAAGAACTCTGTTAAAATAATGCCTCGTACTAATTATTATTCAGCTAAACTGCAATATATAGTACATTGCAAGAGCAATAATACAAGAGCTAAAAATAACTGCTTCTAACTAACTCTCTAGCAGCCTAACAACAAACTTCTAACAAACTAACTAATCATTTGCTATCTTAACACTCCCCCTCAAGTTGGTGGGTGAAAAACATTTGTAACCCCCAACTTGGTTATCAAATACTCATGTTGTTGTGTTTCGAGTGCCTTTGTCAAAATGTCTGCAGACTGCTCCCTTGAGGATATGTGTTCAGCAGTGATGAACCCTTCTTGAATCTTGTCTCTAAAAAATGGCAATCGATCTCAATGTGCTTCGTCCTTTCATGGAAGACTGGATTCGAGGCAATCTGTAATGATGCTTTGCTGTCACAAAACAGCTTCACAGGCTGGTTATGTTTCACTCCTAGCTCATTTAGCAACCCACTTAGCCAAACTAACTCTGCTATGGTCATAGCCATACTTCTATACTCAGCTTCTGCTGAAGAACGAGCCACTGTGTTCTGTTTTTTTTACTTCCATGAAATCAAAGAATTGCCAAGTTTTATACAGTACCCTATTACAGATTTCCTTGACATCGGACAAGTTTCCCAATCTGAATCATAGTAAGCAATCAAGCCACACGTACTAGAGGAGTCTAGCAAAATTCCTTGCCCTGTATTCTTCTTAACATACCACACAATTCTCAGGGCTGCTTCCATATGCACCTTTCCAGGTTGATGCATAAATTGGCTTAGATGCACTACCGAATAGGCTATGTCAGGCCTAGTATGAGTTAAGTAAATAAGTCTGCATATTAGCCTTTGAAATTGTGTCTTGTCAACCATATCTTCTGCACTTTGCTTTAAGCTCTTAGTGTCCGCGGCAACAAAAAAATTATTATTCTGTTCCAAGGGTGTTAAAGCAGGCCTTGCTCCCCCTGCCTTGACATCCTTTATTAATTCTAGAGCATACTTGCGTTGGTTTAAAACAATTCATTTTTTTGATCGTAACACTTCCAGCCCAAGAAAATACCTCAATTCACCCAAATCTTTCATCTTAAACTTGGAATTCAATATACACTTGAGCTCTTCTATCATAGTAGCATCACTGCCAGTAATCAGTAAATCATCTACATACACAAGCACAATTACCGACTTACTTGCTACTCACCTTGTAAACATCGAGTAATCATGCTTACTCTGCTAAAACCCTGTTGATGTAAGTGCTTCAGACAGCTTCTTGTTCCATTGTCTAGAAGCCTGCTTGAGCTCATACAAAGACTTTTGCAGCCTACAAACCATATGCTCCCCCTGGCTGGAAAAGCCTTCAGGCAACTGCATATAGACTTCTTCAATCAAATCTCCTTGCAAGAATGCATTGTGAACATCCATTTGCGACAATGGGCAATCAAAGATTGAAGCAAGAGGCAAAACCAGTATCACAGTGGTAATTTTAGCAACAGGAGAAAAAGTCTCCACTTAGTCAACACCCTCATTTTTGTACCCTTTGGCCACCAACCGAGCCTTGAACCGTTCCACCTCACCCGAAACATGATACTTGATTTTATAAACCCATTTGCAGACAATGGGAATTTTACCAGAAGGTAAAGGTACCACAGTCCAAGTATTATTTAACTTCAATGCTTGAATCTCCTCTCTCATAGCCTACTGCCATTGCGGATGTTGACAAGCTTCTTGATAAGTGGTGGGTTCAGGAAAATGAGAAATAGAAGCCAAAAATTATTGAGTGGGTGAGGGTAAATGAGAGTAAGAAATGTACTTGGAAACGGGGTAATTAGTAGAGGATGAAGTGGATTGGCAAGAACAGACATAATCATTTAACCAGGTTGGAGGCTTGGAGACACGAGAGAAACGCCTAGACATAAAAGAATCTTTTGCTAAAGGAGGAATACCAGCTTCAAAAGGACTGGATGAAGAGTCAAATGGACTACCAGATGCACATGTTGAGACATCTAATGGAGAAATGGAGGGATAGGTGAAGAACTAGAAGAATCAATAGGTGACATAGTAGGAATTTCATGTGAAGAACTTAAAGAATTATCAACACGAGAAGAATCAATAGGTAGTGAAGAATCAAGAATAAAAAAAATCAGTCAGGAATATGAGAATGTGAGTGGGAAAAAGGAGAGGATTTTGAAACAGGAAAATGAAAGGGAAAAATTACTTTATGAAACACCACATCCCTACTCACAAGAAACTGTTGTGATTGAAGACTAAACAAAATGTACCCCTTTTGAGTTGAAGAATATCCCATGAAAACACAAGGGATAGCCTTATGAGAGAATTTGTCTCTATAGTTAAGCTTGGTAGCATAACATAAACACCCAAATACCCTTAGATGAGAAAGGTCAAGAGATTTATGGTAAAGAGCCTCGAAAGGAGTTCTGAAATTTAAAACAGAAGAAGGCAGGCGATTTATTGTATAACAAGCTGTTGTAATACACTCACCCCAAAATTTGATAGGAACTTTTGAGTGAAACCTAAGTGCCCTTGCAACTTCAAGAATATGTCTGTGTTTGCGTTCAGCAACCCATTTTGTTGGGGAGTCTGAACACATGAGTTTTGATGAAGAATACCTAGGGAGCTAAAAAAATCAGAACACTGAGAATTAAAAAATTCAGTGCCATTATCACTACGAATGATTTGAACAGTGGCTAAAAATTGTGTTTCGACAAAAGTGATGATTTTTTAAGAGAAATAACAGTGTCACTCTTCAATCTCAACAAGTGCACCTAAGTCATACGGGTAAAATCATCAACTATGGTTAAAAAATACCTATGACCACTATGTGTTGAAATTCGATAGGGACCCCACAAGTCTATATGAATTAGGTTAAAAGGAGCTTGTGAAGAGGTAAGACTAACAGGAAATGGAAGCCTAGTTTGGTTTGTTAAAGGACATATAGGACAAGAATGCAATAGTTTGGAATCCAAGTTAACAGAATTCAACAAGGGTAATTTATTCATGGTCGAAATAACAACATGTCCTAAACGAGAATGTCAAATGCTTGTTTTATTACTAGAAGTAGTAGTCTTACATTTATATACATGACCACAATCAAACAATTTTGAGTCACAAGACATATTAGAGTAAAAACTAGAAGACTGCATATTTGAAGAATTGTGTGTAGACGACAAACCAGTAGGTAAAGCAAGTGACTGAAAAAATAAAGCCCTCTATACTCCTTACCAATCCCCTTCATCCTTCCACTTGAGAGGTCCTGCAGAATACAAAAGTCAGGACAAAAACTGACAAAACAGTGAAGGTCACGGGTAAGCTTCGAAATGGACCATGAGGCACCTGTATCTAAAATCCAAGTCGACGATTTATTAGAGGCATGAAGATTATCATCAACAATACCTGCCAGATTCACAGCGGAATCAATTGATGGAGCAGAGGACAACAAGCGAAGGATCTGGTTGTACTGCTCCTAGGTGAAGGAAGATGCCAGAGGAGCCGAAGAACTCAACTTGCCATAGGCATTAGTAAGGTCATACACAACAGCAGGTTCAAGTGCAGCAACAGATTCAGAGACAGCTACTACAGCTTGAGCATGCCTTCGTTTGGAGAACTTAAAGTCTGGTGGAAATCCTATGAGACGGTAGCAACTATCCCTCTTGTGACCCTTGACCTTGCAATAGTCACAAGTACCTTGAAACCGACGTCGATCAGGAATCCCTGAGCTTTTGGAATAAAACACCGAGGAATCAGGACTCAGCATAGCAGATAGCTGGATTCGTTGAGACTCCTCTTGAGCAACCATGGAATACGCCTGGTTTACCGAAGAAAGAGGCTGCATCAGCAGGATTTGGCTTCGAATCGACGAATAGGTCTCATTCAAGCCCATGAGAAACTGAAGAAGCTGCTGCTGAGTAACATGCCTGGAGTACTGATGCGAATTCGCACACTCACAGGATGCAATCGGCACAAGTGCAACATACTCATCCCATAACATCTTCAATTTAGTGAAGTAAGTTGAAACACTAAACTCACTTTGAGAAATTGTAGCTATTTCTCGATGGAGGAAAAAAAATCCTGGAGCCATTCACCTTATCAAAGCGCTCCCTCAAATTGTCCCAAACCGAAGCCGCATTTGAAGCGAAGACAATGCCAGCCGAGAGCTCCTTACTCACGGCGTTGAGAATCCAAGACAACACGATCGCATTACACCTCTCCCACTGAGGATGCAAGTCAGGACCGTAAATTTCTTTCTGGCAAGAACCATCAACGAAGCCGAGTTTGTTCTTCGCCAAAAGTGCTATTCGCATCGACCTGCTCCAAACATTATAGTTCTCCAATCCGACTAATTGATGGGAGATGAGCGGAGTGCCTGGAGTATCTGATGGATGCAAGAAAAGTGGATGATTGAAATCAACCACGGCCGAATCGTTTATTGGAGGCATTGCAGTGAAGATAGTCGAGTGAAATCCCTAGGAAAGAAATTTGGGGAGAACGAAGAAGAGAAGAGTTGATGTGAGGATGATACCGAGCCACACTGCTTAGTTTAGAAGTGAGCCAAGCTGAGGGATCCAACAAGAAAGGGCCTGGAAATTCTAATGAAACCTGGGAATGATACCATGTTAAAATAATGCCTCGTACTAATTATTATTCAGCTAAACTGCAATATATAGTACACTGTACAAGCAATAATACAAGAGATAAAAATAACTGCTTCTAACTAACTCTCTAGCAGCCTAACAACAAACTTCTAACAAACTAACTAATCATTTGCTATCTTAACAAACTCCAAATTCTGTTTGTTTGGGTTTATATATTACCCTCGTTTACATTAAAAAATGAATTACATTTTTCTTGATTTTTGTTTCTTTCTCCTTGCACTTGATTTTGTCGTGGTGATTTGGAGCCATGCTGATGACGGGGCTTGCTGGAAGCTGCTGATGACGCTCGTTTGACGATTGGGATTTGCTGGGTGCAACTTGTGTGGCCAGGGGATGCATGGGGGGGGGGGGGCACGGGTGTTAATATGCGTGGACTGGGGACCAGTCTGATGGAGCCGATGAGGCATCTGAATTGGCTTCTGGCGGCACATGAAGTCTCACTTGGGTGTTTAAATGGTTAATTCAATCACCAATCAAATTGAATAACCATTAACCGAATAAATCGATTTTTTTTAGTCGTTAATCAAATCAATTTTTTTTAAATATTAACAGAAATAAACTTTATTCATTTTATGTAAATCATTTTTTATAAAATTAATTATAGTGTATCAAACAATTACTGAAAATGATTTACACAATATCATTAAAATATCATAAAATAATTACGGAAAATTATTTTCCAAAAAATATAATTCATTTTACGCAAAACAGTTTTCATATAATCTATTTTACGTAAATTATTTTCTAAAAAATCAATTGCAGTCTATTAAACATACTCTAAGTTTCATGTTGGGTTACATATGTTTGGGCCGATTTGTAATGTTTGATTTGGGTGAAAAGTGGGCTGCCAAATGTATTAGGTATGGATCGGTTGGGTTAATGGTGTTTAATCTAAGGGTGCGTTTGGTTCACGGAATGTAAGATTACCTTCGGGAATAGGATTACCGGAATGTAACATTACCTAACACATTACTGGGAATGTTACATTACTGTGTTTGGTTTATTTGGCAAGAATGTAAGACTACAGTGTTTGGTTGAATGAATAAAAGATTACTAGAATGTATATTTTATCAAATTGTCCTTGTTCTATATTTTTTTAACAAGTTGAATTCTAAATATTTAAATGAAAATTATTTATATAAAAATTCATCAAATATATATTATTTTATTATTTAAATATATTATGTATTATTTTAATTTTAATTAATATTAAATTTTACACAATTTATCTAAACATATATTAAAATTTTACATCAACATTTAACTAAATAAGCATATGAACATCGTAATAAATGAACCATTTTACTCCTACCATAAACCATTTTACTCCTACCAAAATGTACAAAGATGACTTTAGAGAATATTTTTAATTTATTAATTATAAAATATATTATTATTAGTATTAAAAAATTATATTTTTAATTATTAGTATTAAATAAAAACAAGTCACTTGAAACTAAAAGGGTGAAACATTAATATCATAAAAATACATACAAATGTATACTTACGTGTTACATACTAGAAACAAAAAAAGCAAACTAGTTGCATGTGTATTTTCACACTTCCCACTTATAACTCTAATATCCAATGGCAATCTTTCCCAACTTCTCGCTATGTACACCCAAGAATCAAATTGCACTTTTCAAGCACATCAGGAACTTCTTTATCATCCCAAGAATCAATTTTGTAAGATCCATTTTCCAAGTGCAGAATCCCACTAGCCAATACAGTAGGAATGTGGGTTTTCAAAGGGGAATTAACTTCACAAAGAGTGTTGTAGAATTCAAGTTGCATGGAAGGAAACAGAAAACTTAACAGTGTGTAAAAGATACATGGACACTAAGAGTATAAATTTGCACATACACCTACCTCAGTGCCTAAATCGTGTATAAATTTGCAAATGAAATATAATATACCCAGCAAGCAAAGGATTAAACACCAATCTAACAGATTTCTACTCCACTAATTCAATAATGTGAACTAATTCAATCAACAAATGTGAATAATCCAACAACAAGCAAAGGGAAGATGATCAAAGGAGAGGGAAAATGATGTTAGCCACACTTGTAAATAATGTTGAGATTTTGAGAAAGACAGTTGCAGATACGAAAATGATGGATTTCTCTATTTCAAAAACCAATTTGACATATATGAATTATTATTAAGCTATTCATTTTCTAAAATCTAAAGAAACAAAGACCTAGAAATTAAAACAAACACAATACACTAATAGTAATAAATTCGTTTGAATGCCAAAATCATTCATCAGATTAGATTTCGATTTTAAAAAACCTGAGTGCATGCCAACTTAAAGACACCAAACAAAAAATACAACAAAACAAGGGCTTTACTCTGCTTGGTGAATACCGTAAACATTCTAACTATACTTAGCAATGTAGTAGTTCTACACAATGGTTCAAGAATCAAAGGATTAAAAGAATTCAAACACAAATCACCAGAAAACTTGTCGCATCAATCATCTGTTAGGCCACATCTTCCAAGATTTAAGTATGCCAATGATTGCATGTCACATGAAATTATTATAATTTCAGGAAATTTGTTAATTGCTCAAACTCCATGGACTTGCTAACAACTCATTGTTTTTTGTGATATGATGAAGTTTGATCTTCTATGCATGATAATGATAGAGAGTTTATCCTTATCCACCTATCTCACAACTCTAAGACATTACATCCACCTACTGGTTTCCCCTATGAAATACATGTCACTATATCTGAAGGCACATCCATGTTCAATGTATAACAGCTACAAAATGTATTGTTAAATTATCAGTAGAGGTAAGTAATGAGAACACACCTGAGATGGAATCCAAGCATGCAGCAGTAACATTACATCCCTCCAAATTCAACATATTAAGTTTGTTCAAACCTGCCATGGAAATTAATGTTAGCACATAACATAATATGTTTAATTCTTTAGGTCATCTGGTCTTGTTAAGATAATAGATTATTAGTACGGGAAATAAGATTAAGATGCCATCACTAGAAGATACTGAAGACTATGACCTAAAAGGTAAGATGTATTAATCATGTTACATTCAATGTATTAAGCACTGAAACCAAGAACAATAAATATAAACAAAGAGAAGTCCTATCCTTTTATATAGCACAATGGACGACAGTTTGTGTCCACCATACAAAAGAAAAGGTAGATAAATATTTCTCAAATAAGACAGCCCAGAATTAGTGATGTTACTATTTGATATCTGCAGCTCCTTCAGATTATTAAGCCCTGAAATAAAAGAAAAAAATAAAGCCATAACCAAATAAAAAAAGAAAAAAAATCTAGAATCTAATAAAAAGAATCATGTTTGAGGCTCAGCTACATACCTTGAGATCCATATTTGAGCGTGAACGCAAGACAGAACTAAACTCATGATCTGAACGGATATTACGCCATTTTCCAGTACCATGCTTAAGAACTCCTGCCTTGAGTGCAGCTTCTTCTTCCGCTGTCCATTTCTTCCTCTGTTTTTCTAATAGAAAAGGGAAATCAAAGAAGAAGAATACTTCTCTCGCCAAATCGAAGAATGTGGTCTTTGAAATCGGAAGAGGAATTATACTCTGTGAATTTCTCTTGCCAAATCGAAGAAGTTGAATTTTTTCCATCGCAGAAGCAAGCAAACGGGAGAAGGGTATTTTAGCCATTTAAGCACGGGAATAAAGAAATACCTATATGAGATGTGGGAATAATATTCCCAGTAATCCAGACCCAAAAAACAATGTTGGTAATAATCTTTTACCCTCACTTGGGAATGTGAATCATCCAAACATGAGTATCTTTAACCCAAAAAAAATATTACTGCCAGGAATCCAAAAATCTATGAACCAAACACCCCCTGAATGTAATTGGGTATGGGTTGTACGCTTTCGGTTACATAGTTTTGGGATTGATATGCATGTGCATTTAAAAGCACTTTTGACTTCCAAAATTTAATTTCATCTATATCTTCCATTGAAACTATTCACATCCTCCACGGAACACTTGCTTGGAAAAATTTGCAATCCCATTAATCTAATAACGAAACCAACTTTTGAATCTTGAGGACCCTGAACAACGATTTAATCCATTCATACGACTCATATCACTTTAATCGTCTTGAATTCCATTCAGAGACCTTTAGATAAAATTAGGGTATACCAACTGTTCCTCTTTGCTTGTTGTTTTGGAAATAAGAACGTAACAAAGACAAATTATTACTTAATTTTGTCTTATATGATTGTAATCCCATTTGACTCCAATGCTATTTCTTGATCTTCCACCTATTCATTGTCCCATCTTTCAATCTAATGATTTGCCTCCATATATGTCTAGAAATCTTCTCATTTGGTTTGCCCCAATCTCATAAATGATGAACATGCAAAAGACATATTTATCATTAATTATCACATTTAAAAATATATTTATTTTTTTTATTTTGATTTTTTTATTATTAAATGAGAAGCTTTAGAAATCACTTTCTCATTTTTCAAATATCATATGAAAACATCATTCCCGAAGGTCTTATAGATGTCCCGGAGGACTCATCATCTTGCTTGGAAGACTGACAAACGACCTAGAGGATTTAATCATCATACTCGAAAAACTTACTGATAGTTCGGAGGACTTAATCATCAAGAAACCTTTGAAGATAAAAATTGGCTTCTTTTAAGAAATTCATTTGAAAATATATCAGTCGAGGTACTCATCAATAGACCTTTGAAAATTAAACTTGACTTCTTTAAAAATTCATTTGGAAACATCATATCAGCTGAGTATTCTTCATGAAACCTTAAAAAATAAACTTGGCTTCTTTAAAAATTAATTTGAAAACATCATATCGGTTGGGTAATCTTCAAGAAACCTTTGAAAATCAAATTTGGCTTCTTTAAAAATTCATTTGAAAACATCATATCGGTTGGATAATCTTTAAGAACCTTTGAAAATCAAACTTGACTTCTTTAAAAATTCATTTGAAAACATCATATCTGTCGGTAATCTTCAAGAAACCTTTTGAAAATCAAACTTGGATTCTTTAATAATTCATTTGAAAACATTATATGGGTCCGATACTCATCAAGAAACCTTTGAAAATCAAACTTGGCTTCTTAAAAAATTCATTTGAAAATATCATATCGATTGGTAACATGCCCTGCTTCAAAGTAATGATTATTTTGTGAATTGAGTTCCTTAATTCTTGAGGTTCTGCTACTCTGATTGTAATCTCCTCCATTTAAGGTTTGAACTTTAATTTTCTCTTCCTTCATCAAAATATCTATAAAATTATGCATCAATGTATGAAAATATGAATGCACTTAAATGCATCTAAATGTAATGCATGAGGTTCTTGTTTGCATAAATATTTATCATCAATCATCTTCTAACTCTAAAGTGAAGAACTTAATCTTTCCTTCATTTGATCACTCTCAAAAAGACCCTGCCTCAATATCTGCATGGCAACTCAATAATTCAAGCTTGTATTTTCTAGGGAACAATCTAATCATCTTGTGTCGACATGTATTCTCTATCTTTGGTCTTGCTTCTTCAATAAAATGAAACAACTAACATGTTCAATTCAATTGTTAGACCTTTTTAGAACACTTTTATTTTGGCACCCTGTTTTACTGCCGGATGTCCTAACCGTGGATTTGTGCTTGATTCAATGACCCAGATGAAAATGATTCCTATTGTTTCACCCTAACCCTAGGCCTAGTCCTCCGCCGCCACCGCCTACTTCTGTTTCACCGCCTACTTCTGTTTCGCCGCCAAATGCTCCTGCCACCGCCATCGTTTCAGTTGGCCCTCAGCACATCAATCAAACAACAAGAAAGGCCAAGATCAGTAAAAAAATAACATATACATTTTTTTACTCAGATAAAACAAAACATCAATCAAAATACGAGACTATCGAGCGTTGAAAAAAAGGGAGAACAATCATACCATATTGCATCTTCTCAGTTACACCAAAAAGACCCACAAAGATATAACATGCAAATAAAAAAGAGGGGAAATGGTGGTTTTCTTTCAACCAAGAGAGAAAAAAAAGAAGAAATAGTACCGAATTCGAAAGGAAAAAAGAGACTGAAATCAAAGTAAAAAAAGGAAGGAGAGAAGAGCTTACCCTTTTGGTTCTGATTATCTTGGCTTGGTCGAAATGGTGGGAGTCCTAAAAACTAGGGCTGAGCAACGAAAACGAGAAAACCGACACGAACCGAGTAAAACGGTTCGGTTCGATTCGGTTCGACATTATACAGTTCGGTTTTTGGTTCGATTTAAAGTCCCAATTCTTATGATATGTCTATAACTTATGATATAAGAGAACATAAAGAAATACCAATGACAGAACTCAACATACACTTTTGGGGTCATTTTAATATATATATATATATATTAACATTTTTATTAATATAAATTATATATATCAAAATATCATACTAATAAATTTCTAGTGCTCAAAGGCTCACACCTTGACATTCCTAGCGCTCAAACTCAGGACCTTAAGAAATAACAACCATTCTTTTACCACTGATGTCACTCGGTTCATGCCATACAACTTATCACATATAACCACAAAAATATGTTAATTTAATTTCATAAAAAATTCACATAATATATATATTTAATAAAATTTAAATTTATTTAATCAACATATTTAGAGATATTTTAAATATATATACAAATTTGTGTCTATGTTTTTTTATTTTAATTTTAGATATGAAAATTTATGAACCTACATCATAAATATATATATTTAAAATAAAATTATAAATGTTGAATTGAAAAAAAATACCTTCAATTGAAATGAAATACTTGATAATTTGATTAAAGTCCTAAACTCAAAGGAGATGTAGAACCAAAACATAAAAAAAAAAAAGATTTTTTATACTTAAAATAAATAAGAGAAACGAAAAATAAATCTTTATTTATTTTAAAATAAATAATAATAATAATAATAATACAATTTTAATGAATGATATTTAGGCAGTTTCCAAATTTTAAAATAATATATATATTTTTGGAACAACCAAATTTAATAATATATATATATATATATATATAATTCTTTTTTATATTTAGGGGGTCATGACCTTCTCTAGTCCTAAGGAGGTTCTACCTATGAGAATAAAGATGAGCAGTTTGATCAACCAATCAATGTTAATATAAAGAGTTAATTTTAATTTAATTTTTAAACTTAAAAATAGAATATTAAATAAGTAATTTACCCTAAATTTAAACTCAAGTACTTATGATTGAGCTCAACTTGCAACAAATCAAGTGGGACATTAAGATACTTAAATTCAAATTACCTTATAAGTTAGACTTCTTTTTTTTCCACGTAAAATAGACCACAAAGAAAAATCAGCCAATGATTTTGAAACCCAAGTCAACCTAAAGGACCAGTTGGAACTAGTAGAGAGCTTATAAAGGACACAAACTCCTCCATGGGAAATGCAAAGGACTAACTACAACCCAGACTAGTTCTTTCACAAAACCAATATATATAGAGAGAGAAGCTTGGTTGATTGTTCATCAATGGCGGTTGAAGAAGGCAAAGATGATTACACTGAAGATGGAACTGTGGATCTTAAAGGAAACCCTGTTCTTAGATCCCAGAGAGGTGGATGGACTGCTTGCTCCTTTGTTGTTGGTAAATTTTCTCTCTTTTCCCACCTTTTGTTTTGCCTTTTCTTTCTATAAGGTAATATTTGTGAGGGTGATTATAAGATAGTCTCTGTTCGAAAAACTCTGAACACTCAAACATCTCCGACATACGTTGTGTTCAAATATGAGATCTCTAAGGATAGTAATCATCCATTTTACCATTAAGATAGCTTGATTCGAATACTCTTCTTTCGTAAATCTAAACCTTAAACCGATTGATTAATTATAATAGATTATAATTTTAATCATACATAAGGGAAAATCTCTTGGTTTCATTATTACATGGACCCATGGACGTCGCCGTCATGGACCTACCTCCATAAATGAATTCAATTATAACACGATTTGAGATTTTATTTGAATTTATAAATGTATTTAACATTCTGTGTAGTGTACGAAGTGTTCGAACGAATGGCGTATTATGGAATATCATCGAATTTGGTCCTTTATTTGACTCGGAAGCTCCACCAAGGCACGGTGAAGTCGGCCAACAATGTGACCAACTGGGTCGGCACCATTTGGATTACTCCCATCTTGGGTGCCTATGTTGCCGACGCTCATCTCGGACGTTATTGGACCTTTGTCTGCTCTTGTATCATTTACATCTCTGTAAGTGTTTTTTTTTCACATATCTTTAATTTTAGGATAAATTACAAGTTCAATACTTAAACTATCAGTTTTAGTACCTAAATTTTTAATTTTTTTCAAAGCTATGTTTAACATTTAGTTTTTGTTTCGTTTTAGTATGTGTCGTTAGAAACTTAACGGTGATTTGCAATGACACCTTTTTATGGGTAAATTGCATTATTCGTCACTTAACTATCTTTTTACTCCTATTTTGATCACTAAAGTTTAAATTTTTTTAATTTAATTACTTAACTTTCAAATTACTCCAAATTTAATCGCTCTAACTTTAAAATTTATTTATTTTAATAAAATAATAATAAAAATGTGATGTCACAAAAATTATTAATAAAAATAAATTAGAATGATTAAAACCTGAACAATTCGAAAGTTGAGTAGTTAAATTGAAATTTTTTAAACTTTAATACCAAAATAGGAGTGAAAAAATAGTTGAGTGATGAATGATGTAATTTACCCATAAAAAGGTAATGTCGTTAAGTTTTTAACGATGAGATACTAAAATAAAACAAAAACTAAAAGTTAAGTACGATTCTAAAAAATTTAAAATTCAAGTACTAAAATAAACCAAAATTAATAATTTAGGGACTAAACACATGATTTACTTTAAATTTAAATACATCTTATATATACCAATATTTGATTAGAGTCATCTAGACAGAGCATCCCACTCTGTCACTTGAACCATTCATTAAGTTCAAACGATATTATCTTATTTTTCTAGGTAAATTACTCATATAGTTACTTAAATTATAGAGTTGTCTTTATTTTTGTTATCTTATCAGGTCAATAGTCAAAATAAAAGCAACACATAGTTTAGTCACTATGTGTGCACTTTACCCTATTTTTTAAGGGACAACAACTAGATTTTATATCAACTGTTCCTACATATATCTTTGGGTCTTTAGTGTTCATAAGCATGCATTCAGTATGGATAGTTCTGCTGTACGACAACCTTAATATACGGCTAAGGAAATGTCATAGTGAAAATGTTATTATCTTTTTAACATTTCGGTAAAGTGTTACTTAAAACATTATTTTTTAAGAGTAATTTCCAGTAGAACCAATATTAACATTTCAGTAGAAAAAATAACGTTTAATAGCGCTTTGCCGGAAATTTTAAACATTTTAAATAGCGCCCAATATTAACATTTTCGATAAAAAAATAATGTTTTAGGTAGCGCTTTACCGAAATGTTAAAAAAATAATAATGTTTCGATAACGTCTTTCCTTAACCGTATATTAAGGTTGTCGTACCTGAGACATCCCATGCAAACTATGCATATACCTACATAAATGAGCCTTTGTCATGAACTAAATTGGGAACAATTATCATAGGTTTAAGTTAGTTTAACTAGTTTATGTAACTATTTTAAGAGATAATATATTATATATGATACAATGATAATAAATAATTCTGAATATTGTCTGTGAATTATATATTACTAAAATTAAATTAAATAAATTTCATAGTAATATATTATTATCTGTATAATTTTTTTGAATAGATATTTTATGTATAGTTATTGATAAAGAATATGTTTGAAATTTCTAAAGCTATGGAAACAGATTCTCACAAAAGAATTGATTGATAGATATAAAAAACTAGGAAATAATTGCATTCAAACGGGACCAAATGTAAATGTTTGACTATATATATATATATATTCTTTGTTTTATTTATTACAAGACAATAGAAAATGACCGATGACGGATACACTACATGTTGGTTGGATTGTACTGTCAAATTTCTCATGTGGACCACTGATTTTTATGGCACAACCACAATCTTGTCGGTCGAAAAGTCTGCACATTTTTGTCTAATTTGCGAGACGACATTCGTGTACATGTTTTAGTCAAATTGGTACACCAATTTTGGATATGGATAAAAAATATCAACAAAGCAGCTACGGTTTCATTAGATATACCAATTTTAAACACAATATTTTGATTTCAGGGGGACTTTCTTGGAGCGTTCAAAAGTTAAGGGATTAATTTAGAATGAGGGTCATGGTTTGGGGCTAGATTTGAAACATTTAAAAGTTTGGAGAACAATTTAAAATAAGTCATAGTTTATGGATGAAAAAAATTACATAAACTATTAATATAATTGATTATAATATGCTTTTAAGAACATAGTTATTAAATATAAAAAATAGTTTATTAACGCAAAATTTCACAACAGGGAATGGCAATGCTAACATTATCAGTATCACTCCCTGGACTAAAACCACCACCCTGTCACCAAGCCAACGTAGACAACTGCAAGAAGGCATCGACCCTACAGCTAGCTGTATTTTTCGGTGCATTGTATACACTAGCCGTCGGAACCGGTGGCACGAAGCCGAACATCTCTACGATTGGTGCCGACCAGTTTGACGATTTTCATCCGAAAGAGAAGGCTCAAAAGCTGTCTTTCTTCAATTGGTGGATGTTCAGCATCTTCTTTGGGACACTTTTTGCCAACACGGTCCTTGTTTACATTCAAGACAATGTTGGTTGGACACTAGGGTACGGTTTGCCCACGCTTGGACTAGTGATTTCGGTTATCATCTTCTTAGCCGGCACCCCGTTTTATAGGCACCGAGTGCCCGCCGGGAGTCCGTTCACGAGAATGGCTACGGTCATAGTGGCAGCCATTAGGAAATGGAGGGTGCCACTTCCTAGTGACCCTAAGGAACTTCATGAACTTGGCTTGGAAGAGTATGCAAGTAAAGGGAAGTTCATGATTGAGTCAACATCATCTTTGAGGTTAGTATCGAATTTAATCGATTCGGTTGGTTCGTTTTTCATTTCGATTCGTGATCTCCGAATCATACGTTTGCGTAAATTGCAGGTTTTTGAACAAGGCTGCAGTGAAAACAGGGTCTGTGGATCCATGGATGCTATGCACAGTGACCCAAGTAGAGGAAACTAAACAAATGCTAAGAATGATCCCAATATTGATTGCCACATTCGTGCCAAGCACGATGATTGCACAAACCCATACGTTGTTTGTGAAACAAGGCACCACACTTGATAGGCATATAGGGAACTTCAAGATCCCCCCGGCAAGTTTAACCGGATTTGTGACGATTTCTCTGCTTATCTGTGTCGTCCTCTACGATCGTTTCTTCGTTCCGGTTGTCCGAAAATGGACCAAGAATCCGAGGGGCATCACTCTGCTTCAGAGGATGGGAGTTGGCCTTGTTCTTCACATCATAATCATGGTGATTGCTTCTTTCACTGAGAGGTATAGACTCAACGTGGCTAAACAACATGGTTTGGATGAGAATGGAGGCCAACTTCCGTTAACCATATTCATTTTACTTCCCCAATTTGTGCTTATGGGGACAGCTGATTCGTTTCTTGATGTGGCTAAGCTCGAGTTCTTTTACGATCAAGCACCGGAAAGCATGAAGAGTCTTGGGACCTCCTATTCGAGTACGAGTCTGGGGATTGGGAATTTTCTCAGTAGCTTCCTTCTGTCGACGGTTTCCGATATCACTCAAAGGCATGGTCATCGAGGATGGATCTTGAATAACCTAAACAAGTCACATCTTGACTACTATTATGCCTTTTTTGCAGCACTCAGCTTCTTGAACTTCATTTTCTACTTGACAGTAATCAAGTTTTATGTGTACAAGGCTGAAGTTTCAGATTCCATGCACGTGCTTACGGAAGAACTGAAGGTGATGAGATTAAAGTCATCAAATCAAGAAGATCTTAAGCAATAGTTAGATGGAGCAATGTTGAACAATTATCAGTTATACTTCATTGCAATGCTATGTGTTAAAACAAGTAAAATTCCCTAATAATGCTACAAAGAAGTTGAAAATGAAGCAAAGAAAATTTTACAGTTTGCTCTCTCTACCTCCCCAAAGATCTTGTTATCACATTTAAGGTTACCGAATTCGATACATTGTGCTTGTGCTCTCTTTCGATCTCCTTCGGTCTCCATCGATATAAACATAATATAGTTGGATCATTGAGGACTAATGGCATGAGTATACACAGAACCATGAAAACTCTGCTTCAAATATGCACCATATATACACTACATCCCTGGTATGTCATTTCCTCTTTCCTAATTGGAATGACTTCTTTAGGAACTGATTCGCAACTCGATCGTTCCGATGGCACAAGACCCTTAGCATAGTGTTTGGATCTGATTTGTCCCACCTTCCTGTCGTTGGTGGAATAGGTAGCTTTTGCCCCGGACCGACGAAACCTATTCCACTAGCCTCACAAGTGACAATGCTGAGATCTTCCGACAGTTGTTCGGTCGATTGAGACATCAATGATATTACCCCTTCAACTGTCTCAGCTTCCTTTTGAACAACGTCGTCCGATATCGTTCCTTCTCCGCCTTTACAAAATACCTTTTTCAAGCTGTTGAAATCCTCATCGATCATCTCATGATCGGACCGATTAAAGGCCCTAGACGGTCCACCAGCGAGCAAAACCATAAGAAATGCCTCAAATGATGCTTTCATGATATCTTTCGTTGCTAATGCTTGACCTCGATCAGTAACCATTGCATTAAGAAGAGTCAGATTCTGCTTTAGAATCTTGATTGCAGGTCGAATTCTAGAATTGGTTACGTCACCAACGTAAAGGCCATCGTAGAATTCTGAATTCGAGTCAAGGAAGATAAGGCGGTAAGCAGCAACTTCTGATACATGATCACAAGCAGCCTGAATAGATCCAATTACATTCTCAAAGAAGGAATATGAAGCACAACGTTGTCCACATCCGCCTTCGGAATCGGTTCCTGTCGAACCTTTCGGCGAGATGGTTAGAGCTTTATCAAGAGAATGGAGGTTTGCCATTAGGTAGTGCAAGGTATTAAGTCGAATGTAAAGGCGTTGTGTGTCGTAGCTTGTTGACGGGCGAGAATGGTGACCACCTAGATTCACAATTCGGTTCATATCTTCGACCCCAACACTGCAAGGACTGGCCTTTTTCCAGATTTTGAACAACTTCGAATCCGGATTGCATCGGGTTAGTGGAGGAAGTGGAGGGAGATAACTCCTCTTTGACCCTGCAATATGATCAAAAATGAGAATACATCGAAATCTCGAAATACAATGAGATGATACTCACCACATGATGCTACAAAGGCGTATATTCTTGGAAGAGTTGCTCTAAACCTTCAGCTAGACCGAGAATCATATCATCGGCGATTTCAACCGGAATTTCAAAGAGATCTTTCACCGTTTCATTTGCCATACTAATGAACTCCACCGATGACTGTGCATACGGCTCTGATTTGGACTTGGGATTCCATGTCTACAACATGAACTAAAACCAATTAGTAAGCTCAGTCATAGACCATTTAATCAAAAAAGAATTAAGGAAATTGACTGACTTCAGTTTCTTTTGCTCTACCAATATCATCTTTCCCCTGTTGTAGCCTTTCATCTATCCATTGTCTCAAGAGCCTCAATATGATCGAATCAACTTCGTATGGAGCCATTTGTGTAACGATTCCTTTTCCTCCATCTTCACATTCTTCGGAATCTTCGACCACCATCTGAACCAGAACTTGTTCTAGCTTGGCAGCTCGTTGCAGTACCTCGACTACTTCGCCGTTCAGTGTATGCGTATTGGTCAAATATTGCTTCAGCAGTGCTCCGTAGCATTGGTGCAGTGTCACGACCGCGACACCTGCTGCAGTCGAATGCCATTTCTTCAATATCGGACAGAAAATCGCCCTCTCTTTCTCAGCCAACTCCTCGGTTCTTTTAGCCATTTTTAACATGGTTACACTCGATTCTATAGCATTTTCATTTTCTATCATCTATAGCAATTACATAGAAAACTAAGGATTAAACAAAGATCATGCCAAAACTGATATCTGGTGATAATAAGATAGTTTCATACTCACCTTTGTAAATGCATTTTTCACCGAAGATCGAATGTAACGATCTACATGATCACTGGTCGAATCCGCGAGCAATGTATCCCTTTTCTTGCCCCCTTCCCCTTCCTTGATTGTAACATCTTCACCTAAAATATTCGCTGAAGATAGTGCCAATGACAAAAGGCTTTCAATTCCGCTATTAGACCTTTATCGAAGTATTCGTGGTAACGAAGTAACCGGTGCTCCACCCAATTTCGAGTCCAAGATAACATCGAAGACAATAGTTTAATATGCAAGCGACTCTGTCCGGATTTTTAGCGTCGTTCGCCACCTCTGTCAACAGAGTAAGTGCAGCAGAGAGAAGATCAGGCTCCATTTGATTAGTGGCAACATATTGCCGAAAAAACACCCAAGTGAGGCAAGCTGTGTGAACCGGCCTATTGATCCCCAATGTGGTCCATGTCTTTTTAATCAGTTCTAGCAACTCGTCGACCTCGTCGAGGACTACCGTCTCGTCCCGACTATCGAATATGCTTTTAGGAGACAAGTGTAGAGGTGAATATTGAGGGGAAGCCATCAGCCCAATGGCACACATCAGCAGGAGAACCATTGGTATTTCGGCAAGCTAAAGAAGCAACGGCAGTGCATAGTGTTTTCCATGCCTCGGAGTTCTTCGTAACTTCTATAGGGTTGCAATCAACGGCTCGGATGATCTCGCGTAGTCTCATTACAGAAGAATTCGATTCATCTAGAGGGATCGATGGGTACAAGAGGAGGCCCTCTTCGAGGATTTTTAGCTGACGCTTCTGCCAAATATGGTAATCGATCGGATTATTGAATTCGGACGGTTTTATGTGTCGGATAAGCTCGAGCGGAATGATGATGGACTCCATTTTCTTACCGGACTGTTCAAGCCAACATAGAGATTAACCAACAAATTCAATTGGAATTCTTCAATTGAAAAACATAAACAAATAACATGCATGATTGATACGTACTTGGCCTACAAGGGCTCTCATGAGAGTCTTCCTAAGCCTATTATCACTTTGTTCTGTCACCCCCATTTGTTGTCTCATGATCTCCGCCGCCGACAAAGGTCGTTGAGGCCTCGCTGACTCCGTCATCATCTTAAACCCCGAATCAGGCGGCGACGATGTCAACCCACCGGCACCAACGTCGCCATCGTCACCACTAAAATTCAAAGAGGATATCGTCATCCTCCTAGCGTGCTGCGGTCTCTTCATCATCTTCAACCCCAAAGTTCTTTTAACCCTACTCGAAGGCACATTCACGACACCATGATTCGGTCTCCGCCCCGCCGATCCTGGCCCCGACGCTAACGATAACGCCCCGTACCAGCTCCCTTCATCCCCATCATGCGAAGAATAAAACGACAACGCATTCCGACCCCCAAAGCCCGGCGCGGAACGACAAGACGTGAAGAATATCTCATATGCCGTTTCACGAAGGTCATCGTATCCGACGCCTTCGAGCTGACCGAAAGGCCACGAGAGGTAAGCGTCCGAGGCGGTGGAGGAGAAACCACGACGGGATTCGTGGACCATGGCAGAGGGGGGAAGTCAATTACCGGAGTAGAAAGAAAGAGCGAGAAACAAGGGGGCAGGGAAAGGAGAACATTTTTGTTTTCTATAAAGAGAGAAAGGAGAGAAACCCAGAGATAGGTTTGCCAACGTTGTAGTATCATGAAAGATAGGTTGGTAATTCACACTTAAGATAGAATTTCTTTTTCAATTTTAATATTTTCATTTGAATGGTCAAAATGTGTTTTGTTTTAATATATAAAATATATCAATGAGACACATAGGTTATTCGATTATATATAGAATTATTTTTATTTTAATTTAGATATATCAATGACAATAAGTTTATTTTGTCTGTCGATAGCGTAGTGTGGGGCTCATCGATTGCGTCTTGGTTGTCGCCTTAATCGTCTTCATCTTCTTTTTTTTCAATAGAGGTGTACTAAACATCACTTCACTTTGAGATTCACATTCGAAATACAATGGTAGAGTACTTAAGGTATTTGACGTCATCATTGACTTGAATTGACCACTGAAATCAGTAACTTGTTGACCATATATAATATGATCTCATTCATCCAAATGTTCTGTTGAAGATGTTTGGGTGCTTTGTATTGCATCTCATGAACTTCTAACTCAATTCAACTAACTCTCTATTGAAACATGATACAAAAATAAAAATCATAACTCATCTAAGATGTAAAATACTCTCCAAAGTAAAAGCAAAGACGAAGATGTCGATGATGATTCTTTCTTGCATGTTGTAAATTTGGCCTTCATTTCTTCCTAGTGTTTTCTGTCTTTCGATGATGTTAAATATGATTTTCCAGTTGCTTCATAATTTCGGAGGTAAGGAGAAATGTCGAAATCAATGTCAACAAATGTGATCTCAAAACACAAGACATATAAATGCCACTCATTCCATTGTTAAATGTCGCGTATCAATTCTATGGAGTAAGTCATCATCAAATATTTGCGTAGGAATTGATTAATGAAACATAAAATGGAATAACATTATATCTACGGCGTGCATCTCAACAATTACAAAATGATACAAGGGCGTAACGACTCATCACAACTTTAAGCCTTAAAAAAATATCAATGACAGTAACTAGTAGATCTAATCGTCACAACAACTAAACTGTAAACATTAATTAAATTATAAAAGATAGTATAAGTAAATAAAAATTAAGTAATTTAGTAAATTAATATTTACCGCATGTCGATCGGCGATATCTTGTCTCGGTAATTTTATGCCACTATATAAACAATATAATAAATTAAAATTATAAATAAGAATAAAAATAAAATTAGAAATTCAATAAAAAAATAAAGTTCAAAATTACATTATAGCCAAAGGAAACTCAACCGGGCAGTTATAATTGGCATCAAAACAGAACCGATACCACACCCGAGACTTTAGCAAGACTAAACAACCCACAACATTGACTTTTTATCACCACCTCGATGTAATGAGTTTAAATTTGTCCATTGAAATTTGACCTTTTTTGCAACCTGTTGCCCAACAGC